TCTTACTTTCCGTAGCGTCATGTAATCCGAAGAATACAGTACTACGCTCACCGCATTTCAGAAACACAACCTATGTTTAGACTGGAGGAATCCGATGAGCTATGAAGCTCGTTTTTTCACAGGTGGCCAGTATGGGCGAGTGATAAGGCAAGGGAGAGGCAAATCAACAGTACCACTAATCATTATTCGAAAACGTCTGACCAGCGTGAAAGAGCAGCTGAAACTAAATACCCTCTCCAGAGGGGCGATCTCAAACGGAGGCTCTCCAGCCAGCAGTGGCATCAGCAAGTGAGATCAATTAACATCTTGTTTCTACATCCAATCTTCGATCTTTGGCGAATTCCACCCATGCTTGAGCTGTGTTGCCACACGAAGCCCGCGGGACTTATCTGAAGATATGTGGGGCAAGCAACTGCCAAGAACGCTCGGTGGGCCATGAACATCGGACGATATTCGAGGGCGCCACGGTGACGAGATGTTAACTACCTCGCCTGGTATACAGGAGGTCATGGGTTCGATCCTGTCTCTCTCTCTTATCTCTCCGTGGCCGCGTGGGTTTTTCTCCACGTCCTCCGGTTTTTCACACGTTTAGAGTATTTGGCTGCTACACATTTCCACGTGGTGATGATGATAAGCCACTTCGTTGAGCTATCATTTGTGACGGCCCGGTCGCTTCTGATTATAGCTATATAGAAGTTCAGTGGAGCCTTACCTGGTAAAATAAAAAACAAAGTTTAGTTTTAGAGTTTTTATATCAGACCTGCTAGAGGACAGAGGTCGCAACCGGGTGCCCGATACCCGTACCTTACCCGATACCCGTACCCGATACCCGATACCCGTACCCTACCCGATACCCGTACCCTACCCGATACCCGGCTACCCGTACCCATTCGGGTACGGTTACGGGTAGCCGTTTGCGACCCTGGTGCGGCCGGGTACGGGTACGGGTAGGCCGTGAGTCACTGGTGAGTAGCCGTTTGTCACTCATTTCGGGTAGGGTACGGGTACGGGTAGGGAATGGCTACCCGTACCCGACCGGGTACGGGTACGGGTAGGGAATGGCTACCCGTACCCGACCGGGTACGGGTATCGGGTATCCATTTACGACCCTGGTGCAGCCGGGTACGGGTAAGAAAATAAAACCCGTTTGCGACCTCTGCTAGAGGACCACCGGTTATTCACAAGAGAGGACGATCAGGGTGCTCTGGCACGAGAGCTCAAATCCAATCCTCTAATATGACCCCGCAAACCACGAGGTATAAATGTGTTTTTGTGTAACTGCTGCTCAGCAAAGTCTCTCCCTTGCAAAGCGAGAGAACACAACAAGCTTTCATATTTAATCTTTCCTTACGCAACTTAGGAACGAAATCGTGAAGAAATGGCAATTCAATGGAAAAAAAGGTTCAAACACTAAGTGTACGTAAGCCCACCTTCTCTTCCAACACGTCTGATCACCGTGGAAGAGAAGACCAAATACCCCTTTGGAGTTCACGCTCGAGGAGACCCTTCCGCCAGCCGTGGCGTGAGCGAGCAATTGCAGGGCTGCGCCTTGACCTTTCATTTAGGTTTCCTCCAACAAGAAAAACATTAAATTGGCAAAACATTCCAATTACTGGAGCCTTTCAAAACAACTCCTGCGAATCCGTGAGGCTTTTCGGGATAAATTACCTTATTATTATGATGATGATAGAGAACGTTGAGATGCGTTCGATGCTTTGTAAATCAAACCAATAGTTTTAAATGGTATTACTTTCCACCTTGTGATACAAATGCCCATTTCCTACCAGACCAAAAACACTCCCAGAGGAAAGCCATTACTCAAGTTCTTTTTAAAGCTTTACAATGCCCCATAAACCTCATTGTTTAATGGAATGTATAAGCAAAGATTTTTTTTGCTTTGGCATGTAACATTTTATTGTGTTTTTTTACTCCATGCATAATTTCATTGACCTGCGTACTTACATAGTTCAGAAAACAGCCATTTACCACAACAAAAAACTTTACAATAAAATGTACACATTATATAGAAGCACGGAGAGCTGCGTGCGTGAAATATTAAGAAGCCACTGGAGCTATTCACTTTTAAATCTAGATTGCAAACTAATTTCTTGAGAAGTGCTTTTTGTGTTTAGTCTGTTGTCCTTCCCTCCCCCCGCACCTCCGATTAGCACGGTTGGCTACGTACGGTGCGAAAGAAGTTAAATACGCACTTACACTTTTAAATCTAGATTGAACGACAATTTCTTTATAACTGCTTTTTGTGTTTAGTTTGTTGTCCTTCCGCCCGCACCTCTGATTAGCACGGTTGGCTACGTACTGTGCGAAAGAAGTTCAACACGCGTACTTGCATACATCACGCCGAGGACAGACAGGAAGAGAGTCACAGGGATTAGAGAAAATATTTACAGGTTATGACATCATTTACACCGCTAACAAAAGGGAGGCTTGGCCAGGACATGTACGTCGTCGTCGCTATGAAGGAGAGTCAAGAATTTCCATGGGAGTGGCAGCAAAGGAATGCACCGTGGTCTGACAGTGCTGTACGTCGCCCACCAAGGAGATGGAGCGATTAAAATTGGCTCAGGTGCTGGGTGGATTACACTGGTCAACAAAAAATAAAAATTCTGGCCTGGACTTTTGCAGCTGTTTCAGGGTGCCGATTCCAAATCTGATCTCAGATTTGCTCTATCACATCTCATTTTATGCTATCGGCATACCCCATTTTCATTGATTTTACCCGAAATTAACTCTGTCACTTATGATTGCAAGTTGTTGCGAATCAGTGACTGCTTTAGTGTTAAAATATGGTGCTGTATTTTTAGGATAGTGTGTTTATAATATCATTTTATGTAGATATCCACATTTATTTAATATTTTTCTTCTGCAGTTTTGATTGAAAATGCAATATTTGATAATCTCAAAAACCTGATGTGATAGACAAAAACTGATGCCAGATTTGGAATCGGCACCCCAAAATTACCTTAAACCCGTTGGAATACCTTATGCCAGAAAAAGTGTGTTGATCAGTGTTATGCAGAGGGTGGATCGTGAGAAATGGTGACACCTTCGGGAGGGAGTCATCCAGCAGTGGATTGACCATGGCTGGTGATGACGAGGAAAGTAACATTTGATCCGTCTCATTAGTATATTGCTAATTGTAAAAAAACTATTATCATATTTTGTTACTGGCAAATGAGGTTCCAATGGTGTAAATGCTTACCCCGAGCTCTCTTACTCTGATGGTTCATTGTCCTTGAGTTGTGCGCCTTTTGGCGTCATCTGGTCCAACACCATGTGAGACTAGGCTCTAAAGAAAGCTGTCTCGGGTGTGGACCAATCAACTTCAAGGACAGTGCATGCATTATCAGAGTTATGTTTTTTTTGCATTCCGACCGCAGGTATTGTGGTCTATGCAAACATGACTCCTTGTAAATAAGGTGTCAGTTTTGTTGCCAGATAAAAGGGTAAAAACAATTATCATATTTTGTTACTGGCAAATGAGGCTCCAATGGGAGTATATTGCTGTTGTTAGTTACCTCTTCATTCCAAGTACAGAGTGTTCCAAAATGATGGACCCAATTTCAAAGCTGAATATTTCACGATGGCAACATGTTACAATTAACAAAAAGATACAAACGGTTTAATGAGTTATCAAGTTTTACTAACCATTTTATAAACGCTCTATGTGCCCTCCACCTGCTGTACGGATAACATCGAGACGAGTTGAATTCGTCCCAAACGCCTCTCAAAGTGTCTTCTTCCACTGACGTCACCGCTGCCGTGATTCTGTTTTTGAGGTCTTCCAGATTAGTCGCTAATGGTGCCACGAAAACACGGTCTTTGACGTATCCCCACAAGAAAAAGTCGCAGGGTGTGATGAAACGCATGCTGCACCGCAATTACGGATTCAGTCTTGCTGAACTGCAGAACGCAAAACGCCTTGTGTGTTGGCGGGGGGTCACCGTCTTGCGAATGACTGAGGCTAGGGGCTGTTTGTGTGCTGGGAGAGGCAGCTAGCGGTAATCATTTGAAACTCTATGCCCCGCCCTCTCTATGCCCCGCCCTTTCAAGTGGCAAGAGTTTCATTCATGGGCGGTTCGTGGTTGCAGAGATATAGCGATTACAAATCGGGTCCATCTTTTTGAAACACCCTGTATTTTATTTCCACTAATTTGTTTTTGTATTCATTTATTTTGCTATTTGACTGAGGTCTAGAGGCTGTTCATGTGAATGAACTCTCACTTGGTTATACAGTTGATCATCGATTATCCACCGGCTTAGGGGGGAAGGGGTCGCCAGGTTTTTTAAAAACACCGGATAATCACTACATAATTTAAAATAGCTTATTTTTGCACATTGTTCGTGGAAGATAAGTGGCTTGTGTTGTTGCTCTGGAAACCGGGAGATCGATAATGGATGTTCGGTCACCGCGTTGATGGCATTCGTTGCGATTTATCACTTAACAGAGAGGGCCGCGCGAAGGCTGCCAACTTCCACTGCTGAATGGAGTTCAAAAGAACCCACAAACACCTTGTAAAAGACCCAACGCAGAAGATCTCTGGGTTTGATCTTCCACAAAGCTCATGGTCCACCCGAAATCGCATCCACGACACAAACCATGGTGGTAGATGCGGATACCAGATGCATGAAATGGAATATTAAAAACTCTCCAGTGGCAGCGTGCAACTGTGGTCATCCAGAACAGACCGTAACAACGTATAACGACGAAACGCCCGCCCCGAGATCACCAAACACGAAGATGGAGACATCACGGCGATACGCTGCTTCCGCTGCTCCTGACGCGGTTATCTGGCTTCACCGCCTGGATGTGAAATCGCAGTTGTTGCTCTGCGTCTAGGTCAGCCGTACGACACGAAAAAAAGAAGGCTGCCGACGACGAAGATTTGCGAAAGGCTCCATTTCACATCGGTGATCGACCGCCGCCGCCGCCGCCACCACCGGCCCTCGCTCAGCGACCGCCGCCGCCACCGAGTGCTCACCTTGTAGTGGCTGGTGGAGACCCACGCCAGCAGGCCGTCGACGATCTTGTCCAGCGTGCCGGGGTCCGTCTCCAGGTCGGAAGAGCGCTCCGAGTCGCCGAAGTAATCCACGAGATCGGGCCCAAACTGCAGGCGCTTGCTCATGTCCTTTTGAAGGACGCGCTCTAAAGCTTGTTCCAGATCCATCGTATCGTTTTTGAAAGCCGCCGCTCCCCGCGCGCTACCCCTGCCCCACCCCCCCCTCCCCCCCGAAAACAGAATCCACGCAAAGGGAGACGGCTACTCTTTAATTAGTTACGCCGTTTTGATGGCAGGCCGTGGGTTATATTCCGTTGGGGCACGCAAGGTACTACGCCGATATTTTTTTTGGTCAGATTTCAATTTGGTCTTCATTGGCAATCCAGGCTCCGATCCATCTGCAAGAGCATACAAGGAAAATTAAACAACGTGCTCTAAAGGTATACACAACATACCTGTCAACCCGTTATCAGTGTCGACCTTATCACGGACAAATTCAAAGCTTATTGGTCACCCCGTGCCCTTATCAAATCTCAACAATCATCCTACGAAGTCGCATCACAAGGGAAAAACAAACAAAATTTAAAAATTTTACCCGTATTGAAACGGCTGTAAGCCGTATGGACCTGCAAACTAAATTTCCCTGTACAAGATGGATTGACAGACATGATACAAACAAGGTAAAAGATATGCCTTGCAAATAACCGTCCACTGGGGCTTTATTCCAACACCGTAAACTAATTATGGTTTAATTAAAGCTTCACTCGTAATTACCAACAGAAACTTCAATGCACAAACACTGCTTCTGATGGATGCAAATATCTAACGATGGTGCCAGGGTAGACAGTGCACAAAAATATTACGAAGTATTCTACAACTGCGGCAGTAACGCTGAAAGATGGTAGAGTAGGATGAAAAACAGCAGTTTCAATTCATGGCTTGTAATAAGGAACACAATGAGCTATTAAGACTGGGGTTTGAGCACGAAGCTACGACGCTATTATATAACTCACAGGCTCTTAACGAGCATCATTAAAACTATCCCAGAGTGTGGGGGAATGTAGAAAGAGTGCTATTTCTCTCCACATCGTTTTTTAATTCATGTGCAGCAAACCATGCGGCGTGAGAACGACTGTGGACACCTTTGAAAAAAAGAGCTGTAAAGCTCATCTGATCCCTCCAGTATAAATATTCTCACGTGGTGTGGTGTACCTCCTGGCCCCGCGTTTACACCCCCTCCTTCTTGCAACTTACAAATCGTTTCCACGTGACTGAATTATGGTGGTTAGGATTAGGGTAAGGGTTTGGCGACTGATGCTAAAAATGAAGAGTTAGCGTCATTTGGGTTGGGCCACATGTAAAAGCGTGTGCACACAGTTGATAATCGATTATCCGGCTGCTTCCAACTTTATCCGGCAATGCCAGGCTGATCCGGCGATCCCGGGCCGATCTGGCGAAACCGGCAAAGCCACTCCAAAGGCTGAAAACCAGTCAGGTTAAAAGCACCATGTCCGTGACCAAAAATAAAAGGTAGCTATGCTTGATTTCAGTATTTAATATTATAAACGGTACTCTATACAGTCTTTCGAGGTTGGAGTGGAAAGTACGGTACAGTAAATTTGGTAACTTTTCAAAGCTAACTTTTTATTTTCGTCTATTCGTATGAATATTCACGTCAATTTCACACAGTAAACATTATTGAAACACTACAAAAAAACGTACAACACCTAAGAAACGTAACGTCATGCAATAATGTGCAAAAATAATATTATTTGAAATAATGGTTGAGGAGTGATTATCCGACGGTCTTTAAAATCCAGCACCCCCCCTTGCCCCGAAGCTGCCGGATAATCGAAGATCTCCTTGTAGTCAAGGTCGTGATGAGATTCTTATGGTAAAGTTAGAGAAGTTAGGGTTGTTCGGCTTAAGTAGAACACTGGGTTGTCACGGTTGAGTTGAGATAGGGATTGGAAGACATGGGGTTCGGTAATGAGGTCGTATGTGTGATTTGCGTTAGGGTTTGTTAAGTGTTATTTTATAGGCAGTGCTGTTCTAGAGGCGTTAAGTTAGGAGGCACAGATTGTACGGTTATTAGTGAACTAGGCATCATAAAGACAGCCTTGTCAATGAATGTCATAGTCATAGGTTGTGTGTTACCGGTGGTGTGTGTTAGGCTTACAGGTACTGTATCGTTGCATTACGATTACAGATGTGTCAGTGTTACAGTGTGGGAGTGCTGTTAATGTTAGAGGCTTTGTGTTCATGGCACAGTATGTTATTATTACCAAGAAAACTACCGTCAGACCATAGAGTGTTGACGACTATCCCCCCCCACCCCGTACTATAACACACTGCTCGGTCATTCGTAGTGATGATAGAGGCAGCCGTGGTGGTGTTACATCAGTAGCATCGGTATTACGGCAGTGTAATGTTCACGTACTGTTGTTCGTGAACTGTATTAGTAACGCAGTAATTGTGTAGGCAGTGTGTTAATGTGAGCCATGTTACAGGGCATTGCTGTGCTAGTATTGCAGAAGGTTTGTCGCTAACACAGATAGTCACAAGCATTGCCATGTTAGTGTTACAGGGCAGTGCTGTGTTAGTATTACAGGTTAAGTCGCTAACAGTATAGTAGTTAAAAACATAGGGTTACGAACAGTGCTGTGTATCACAGAAGGCGCTAGTATTGTGTAAAGTAACAGGTATTCTATTACAGAGGTGTTTACCACATGCATTGTATCACAACGTAGGCAGTTGAGTCTGAGCCTTGCTGTGCACAGTGTTGTGACAGTGTGTTTGAACGTCAGTAACACGGGTATTGTGTGAGCGTCACAACCATGCATTGTTTTATATCATGACTAATATATATTGTAATGGCAGAAGAGGTTGTGTAATGAGTATTTGTGAGCACTTGTAAGCACTGTAACAAGCAGTGCTGTTAAGTGTTACATTGGTATATATCTTCATAAACATTCTGTTAAGATTTTGATTTAAAGCTTTCGTGACTGCAGGGATTCATCTTCTTGGTTCTGTCGGTAAAGTCACGTAGAATGGAAATAATAAAATAATAAAAATAAAACATTTAATAATTCTCACGACGTTTCGGCCACAACGCAAGCAGCCGTCCTCAGGTGGAGAACAGGTCTGTCGAGAAGACAGTCTGAATGAATTTCCATTCAACGTGACTTTACCGAAAGAACCAAGAAGATTCTGTTAAGAGTATGCTTGACACAGGAATCGTGAAATAGTGAAGGCATTTGCTGTGACAGCCCTGTTACATACGAGCAGTTATGAAGGGTTAGGATTCAACACAATGTCGAGTTAATGTTATATAGCCATTGTTGTGTTAGTGATGGTACTGGGTCAGTGTAAAGCATGCATTGTGTTTTTATATCATGACCAATGTTTATACAGTCACACCTTGGTATACGACCGCTTTGGAATACGTCGAATTTGGTATACGTCGTATTTTGACGAGAAAAATGTCTTGGGATACGACGTCTTGCTTGGGATACGACGTCTTGCTTGGGATACGACGTCTTGCTTGGGATACGTCTTGCTTGGGATACGTCTTACTTGGGATACGTCTTGCTTGGGATACGTCTTGCTTGGGATACGACGTCTTGCTTGGGATACGTCTTGCTTGGGATACGACGTCTTGCTTGGGATACGACGTCTTGCTTGGGATACGACGTCTTGCTTGGGATACGACGTCTTGCTTGGGATACGACGTCTTGCTTGGGATACGTCTTGCTTGGGATATGACGTCTTGCTTGGGATACGACATCTTGCTTGGGATACGACGTCTTGTTTGGGATACGACGTCTTGCTTGGGATACGACGTCTTGCTTGGGATACGACGTCTTGCTTGGGATACGACGTCTTGCTTGGGATACGACGTCTTGCTTGGGATACGACGTCTTGCTTGGGATACGTCTTGCTTGGGATACGACGTCTTGCTTGGGATACGACGTCTTGTTTGGGATACGACGTCTTGCTTGGGATACGACGTCTTGCTTGGGATACGACGTCTTGCTTGGGATACGACGTCTTGCTTGGGATACGACGTCTTGCTTGGGATACGACGCGCTTGCTTGGGATACGACGTCTTATTTGGGATACGACGTCTTGCTTGGGATACGACGTCTTGCTTGGGATACGACGTCTTGTTTGGGATACGACGTCTTGCTTGGGATACGTCGTCTTGCTTGGGATACGACGTTTTGCTTTGGGATACGACGTCTTGTTTGGGATACGACGTCTTGCTTGGGATACGTCTTGCTTAGGATACAACGTCTTGCTTGGGATACAACGTCTTGCTTGGGATACGACGTCTTGCTTTGGGATACGACGTCTTGCTTGGGATACAACGTCTTGCTTTGGGATACGACTTCTTGCTTGGGATACGTCTTGCTTGGGATACAACGTCTTGCTTGGGATACGACGTCTTGCTTGGGATACGACGTCTTGCTTGGGATACGACGTCTTGCTTGGGATACGACGTCTTGCTTTGGGATACGATGTCTTGCTTGGGATACAACGTCTTGCTTGGGATACGACGTCTTGCTTGGGATACGTCTTGCTTGGGATACGACGTCTTGCTTGGGATACGACGTCTTGCTTGGGATACGACGCACTTGCTAGACCTTGTACGGGTCGGGATGAGTCACCGCGTACCCGCGTAGACTCCGTTCACGGCTCCCCTTCCTCACCACCATCCTCGTAGGCTATCAACTCCTCTCAGCAAGTGATGTTAAATTGTATTTTTATTTCAATTTATTTTAATTTATTTTAATTTATTTATGCATTTTTAGTAATAAGTAGTGTCTCAATTTTTTTATACAACCCCATTAATGTATAATATACCATATAAAATAGAATTTCTTATACTCTGGAACGGATTATTTCCATTCATTTATCTCTTATTAGAAAAATTCGTTTGGTATACGTCATTATCGGTATATAAGTCCTACCTTCTGGAACGATTTAACGACGTATACCGATGTACCACTGTATTGTAATATGACAGTAGAGGCTGTGCAGTGAGTATTTGTGAGGACTCTAACGGGCAGTGCTGTTAAGTGTTACGTTGAAATATTACTTCATATACATTCTGTGAAGATTACGATTGACACACGAATCGTGAAATAGTGAAATCATTTCCCCTGTTACATAAAAAGCCGTCTGAAGGTTAGATTAAACACAATGTCGAGTGTTATAACCATTGTTGTGTTAGTGATGGTATCGTGCTAGTAACAGGTATGGTTGTCGGTGTTATTCATAAATGTTGTTAAGCGTGTCATTAGTAGTATAATGTGGATATAATCATATAGGCAGTGTGATGACAGTGTTGTTAGTCTGACAGGCAGTGGTGTGGTATCAGTGTTATTGTGTGATGTTCGGGGTACAGTACACGTATTGTTTTATTGCATTACTAATGTATCGTGCAAAGAATATCTCTGTAACAATAACAGGGCCCCCCTTTCGTTTAGCAGTACTGTATTAGTGTAACGTTAGTAACACGGGTATTGTTACTAACGTTACACTAATATCACTCCTAACAGAATATGAGTTATTATAACTAATGTATAGTATTAAAACAGATATTGGGAGAAAGTGTGGTATGTATGAGCCCTGTTACAGTACTGTTCGTGTTACAAGACATTCTAGTATCGTTAATAACAGTATAGTATCATTACTACTGTATATTACGTGATGTATTCATAATAATGTTATAGGTGTGATGAACATCTCTGAATGTTACAGGCAGTATTGTGTTAGTAACACAGTTATTGTGTCAGAAGTGTCATCATATTGTAATGCTCTAATGATCGAGGCAGTAAGTAGTGTGTTGTGTCTATATGCCACGTTACAAACGTTGCTGTATAGTCGCGTTACTTTGCAGCGTCGTGCTAATGCCAGTATTATTATATTAGTTATAAGCACCGATATACTGGACAGACAAACACAACAGCACTTGGGGCAAGCGCTGTTAGCGAGTAGCAGCACCTATGAAGGCCGGCCCATCACCAAGCCCGGCCGCCTTTGTCTTCTCAAATAGCGATGCTTACACATCACAACAGTTACTCATTTGAGGCCGAGTCGACCTAGGTGAGAGGAGGTTACCCGAACCGGGGTTCAGAAAATCGTTCCGCGAAGTGGAAATCGAACTCGGGTGGCCGGGCATCGTAAGCGGCGCTAACCATTATCCCTCCACTCCCCCCCCTCACGCAAACACAATCTATGTAATAAAACACCGCGTAATTGTAATACACGAGTAGTGTTAGGGGAACAGCGATGCGTGGTGGATTGTGCGTGCTGTGTAAGCGAGGGGGGTCGTGTACCTGGGCCTGGGAACGGCCGAGAAGGGGGCCCTCAAAGCGGCGGACGAACCCAAGGCCAACGCGCTTAGCAACGCGCGCGCGCGTAAAAATTAAAAATAAAAAGTCACCGTAGCCGCCTTTAAATTTGTGTTGACACGACGACGTTTAAAAAAAATACGTTGTTTTATACACGTATGTGGAAATATCTTTGGAGGCGATTTACAAAGACGCGAAAGCAAAAAAAAATTTGTAGAGAGGGGAGGGATTTGTTACTAAAAAAAAAATAACGCGGAGACATCCACGGCGCTTCCGGTCAATAGCCCGCGCGCTGATCACGTCACTTCCGGTGAAGCCCCTAACTTCCGGAAGACGTCTTCCGTGAATAATGGGAAGAGAAAAAAACGCGCGGAAGATATCGTTTTCCGGGTATCCTAAAATCCGCGTTTTTACCGCAAATTTTTTTTTCAATATGTAAAATAAAATATTCGAGGCGATTACAAGCTGAGAAGCCAAAACGCAGAGGATTTAGGAAAATAAATTTTAAAAAATAAAAATGTCTCCCCCTGCCGGCGCGCTGAACACGTCACTTCCTCCTCAGATCTTCCGGAAGATGTCTTCCGTAAAGCAGAACTACAAAAAAACACGCGGAAGATGTCATCTTGGTATCCTAAAATCCGCGTTTTACCGCGAATTTTTTTTCTCAATGTAAAAACCTCCCCGACGACCCGAGTTCGATTCCCGCTCACGCCCAATTTTTTTAGATGAAAAAAAGAAAAGAAATATTTCAGGCGATTACAACCCGCGAAGACAAAACGCAGAGGATTTCCAAGAAAAAAAAATTGGCTCCCTCCACTTCTTATGCAGGGACAAATATCCCGCGACCCTGAGTAACTTCAATTCCTCTTCGTTCCCTCTCTTCCGGAAGCGAACTTCCGTGCATGGAAGAAGAAGGAAAAAAACACGCGGAAGATGTCGCCATCGGGATCATCCGAATTTTTAACAAGTATAACCCGTAAAAACAAAGTTTTTCACTATAAATCCTTTATATGCGTGGCGGCTAGAGTCCTCTCGTCCTCTGGCTTGAGATGGCTGCCACCTATGGGTCAGATGATTGTCTGCCAGTATTAAGCAATTGGTAATTAAATATTTAATTTATTTTCCCTAAACAGTGTAAAATTTTTGATTTTTTTTACAAACATTAATTGTCTCGCACAACGAGTCTGTGTGCAAAATGTCAGCTCGATTGGATCACGGGAAGTGGGTTAAAAACGACCGAAATATTTGCACAGTCGTAAGCAAGCAAGCACGCACGCAAGCAAGCGAACTTAATATAAAGGATTTAAAAATCAAATTAAACACCTCCGCCCACCCGAGTTCGATTCCCGCTCACGGCCAATATTTTTTAAAAATCTTCCTGCATTTTCCAGCGACGTCAAGCGGACACTTGCCCTCCCACTAAACCAACGAGCTATCGATCCTTCCGATGCCCGTGCCTCTTACCACCAATGTCATGCGCTCTAGTATCTGGGTAACCATTACCCAACTAAATTTCGATTTAAAGCTTCTTTCGTGACTGCAGGGATTCATCTTCTTGGTTCTTTCGGTAAAGTCACGTAGAAGGGAAATAATAAAATAATAAAAATAAAACATTATAAAATATATTATATTTTATTTTTATTAAAACATAATAAAATATATTATGTTTTATTTTTATTAAAACATAATAAAATATATTGCTTTATTTTTATTATTATTTTATTATTTCCCTTCTACGTGACTTTACCGAAAGAACCAAGAAGATGAAACATGACCCACCTATTCCGGATAATTTTGCTTTATTGACACATCCCCCCCAATATTCAAATATGCTGGTCCTGGGCTTGCACCCCACCTCCGCTTGTCCCTTCACCCCACGTGCAGTGACCGGTGTGGTGAAGTATGACCAAACAATCCCCATAACCGTCACGCGATTGGAAAGCAGTCATTCGGCAGTGGACTGACACAGGACTGTAAATTATAATTCTTGTTTGTTTATTCCAGCTGTTGCATACGAGTGTGCATACATTCAAGACTTATTGCATAGGAGCATTTCATAAATACTTGCCGAGCAACGCTGCGGATACTTTTGCTTTATTGACGATATGACCGCCAGCCAAATTTGGAACGGTGGCCCAATGTCAGCAAAAAGTTATCCGGGTCAGTGACTGCGTATTTGCATTGATGTCGTAGATCCACGATTACATTACACGGACGATTGAAACCGGTTGTTGTTGTTGTTGTTAGTTTGTTTTGTTTGCTAGTGCGAATACATGGACTGTTTAAAATAAAATGAAATCGACGTTTTATTCGTAGTAACTCAGAATTGCAATGGGTTATTTGGTGATAACATGGGGACATTTTGTGCCAGCATCAATGTATGAAAAATCACAATAGGTGTTACCCTTTCTGGCAATAAAACAGGTGTTAAGATGTTGGAACACCAAACAGAGGAATCATGTCTGCATTATTTAATGATTTAAAGCTTTCGTGACTGCATGGATTCATATTCTTGGTTCTTTCGGTAAAGTCACGCAGAAGGGATATAATAAGATAATAAAAATAAAACATAATAAGATAAAACTCTCACGACGTTTCGGCCACAACGCAAGCAGCCATCCTCAGGTGAAGAACAGGGCTGTCCTAATGAGGACGCTGTCTTTCCGACAGCCCTGTTCTTCACCTGAGAACGGCTGAAAGGTCGTGAGAATTTTATCTTATGTTTTATTTTTATTATTTTATTATTTCCCTTCTACGTGACTTTACCGAAAGAACCAAGAATATGAAACAAAACATGCCCTGATAAAATATGGCATTGTCTTTCAAATATGATAATTGTTTTTTTACCCTTTTATCTGGCAACAAAACTGACACCTTTTTTACAAGGAGTCATGTTTGCATAGACCACAATACCTGCAGTCATAATGCAAACAAAAAACATAACTCTGATAATATATGCACTGTCCCTGAAGTTGATTGGTCCACACCCGAGACAACTTTCCTTAGAGCCTAGTCTCACATGGGTTGGACCAGATGACGCCAAAAGGCGCACAACTTAAAGACAATGTACCATCAGTATGAGAGCTCAAGGTAAGCATTTACACCATTGGAACCTCATTTGCCAGTAAAAAATATGATAATTGTTTTTTTACCCTTTTATATGGCAACAAAACTGACACCTTTTTTTGCAAGGAGTTGTGTTTATATTGACCACAATACCTGCAGTCATAATGCAAAACTCATTTGCCTACACCAGAGACAGCCTTCTTCATGGCCTAGTGTCGTCACCAGGGTCAGACCAGAGAACGCCAAAATGCGAACAGTACAAAGGCAATGCCGCACCGATCAGAGCATTTATCGCTCGGGGTGAGCAGCAGCTACATCATGGGAACTCTTTTACCAGTAGTTGATGATGCTGCCACTGATGCTGTTGCGTTGGCAAGTGGTGCGCACACACACAGATAATATATATACATTTTAACCAAACTATCAACTTTGTATTAGTTACCAGGTAAGGCCCACTGAGCGAAACGGCTCTTTATCAGAAGCGACCTGGCCACCACAAATTATAGCTCAGCGAAGTGACGGATTGTCGTGTGGACATTTATAGCAGCCAAATGCTCTAAGCGCACGTTGATTCTAAATGTGGAGGGGAGACACCGGGAGGAACAGGAACAAAAGCTATCCACGCGACCACAGGGAGAACGTGCAAACTCCAAATATACAGCAGGCGTCAGGTTCGGGATCGAACCCACAACCTCCTGTACACCAGGCGAGGTAGTTAACATTTCGCCACTGCGGCGTCCCAACAATGCGGTCTTTAAAGAAAAGAAAAACATACATATGATGGTTGACGTTCTGGACAATAGCCCTTCATCGTGGTGCATGTAAATCAATGTTGTTTTCATGGACACACATCTCCATAGAGTAAGCAAGCATGAATTGACGCGTAAATATGGACATGATTAAGATTAACACTCAATTGAGTAATGCCCCCCAGGACTTAATTTGAGCCAGAGCTCTCCGGGGCTGACCTCCAGAAAATGTCCCTGGCCATGACCTACCCCCCCCCCCCCCCCCCATGCCGTCGGTGTTGGGAGGGTGGGCTCTGTGGGGCTTGGGACAGGCTGGGTTGAAACATATTCCACAAGAAATTAAGGCTAAAGTGCCCCTATAAATATTTTTCCACGAAAACTGCAGGCTCAGTTCGCAATGCTTTCCAACCGAGGTTGGCAGTGTTTATGCCACCGCCTCTGGATGATATTGGTCGCGAAAGGCTTACGTGTGAAACCTGGCGTCTCTGTCCATCCGTACCGGGGACCATTGCACGACAATTCTGGCAAAGATTAAAATCCAATATGAATCATGTTACTCTTTGGTTCTTTCGGTAAATTATAGATTTGAAGCTTTCGTGACTGCAAGGATTCATACTCTGGTTCTTTCGGTAAAGTTCTTTCGGTAAAGTCGAAAGAACCAAGAAGACGGTTATTTATTCATTACCCCCCCCCCCACCGTCTCGTAATCATTGCGGCTCTTAAAATATTGAGGATTTTTTATTTTTACCGAATCCCTCCCCCCCAAAAAAATAGATTCTGGTTATTTTGGTTGCCGGCCTCTGCTACAGACGATTGTCCACATTGATGAACGAGGTACTTCAAAAACGAAAACGATTTTTTTTATTTGACCAGGTTAAGGCCCACTGAGTTATTTCGGTGATTTCACGTAGAAAGAAAATAAAGAAAATAATAAAGAAAACAATCTTAGCACAGTTAAGCCGACTCTCTGCCTTGCATTGCATTACATTTCGAAAGAAAAAAATGATACGTTTGTTTTCTTTATCATTTAATTCATTTTCTTTCTACGTGACTTTACCGAAAGAACCAAAGAGTAATTCCTGCAATCACGAAAGCTTCAAATCAAGTTGTACGCAGCTCGTTTTTTCAGAAGAGACCGGGCCAATCTCAAATGAGAGCTCAACAAAGCGGCTCATCATCACGTGAACATTTATAGCAGCCAGATGATCGATAAACGCGTGAGTGACGCCGATTCTAAATGTGGAGGGAAAAACCGGACGACCCGGTGGAAAAAAATCCACGCGGTCACGGGGGGAGAGAGACACGCAAAACTCCAAATAAACAGCAGAACCCATCGTCAGGGTCGGGGTCGAAACCACGACCTCCTGTAGACCAGGCGAGGAGGTTAACATCTCATAGCCACCGGGGCGTACTGGGGGGACACACACATCGAACCAAACCAAAAAGGACAACTGCTTTATTTTTCTTCTTCTTGGTTCTTTCGGTAAAGTCACGTAGACAGACCTGGTCTTCACCTGTGGACGGTTGCATGCGTTGTGGCCGAAACGTCGTGAGAATTATTTTATTATGTTTTATTTTTATTATTTCATTATTTCCATTCTACGTGACTTTACCGAAAGAAGCAAGAAGATGAATCCCTGCAGTCACGAAAGCTTTAAATCGAATTTTTTTGGCAAATACTGTATTAGCCCTGACAGCTTCCGTTTGGCTTCCGTGCTGATGGGTTTGTTTGTTGATTTATTTTCCCCAAAGTCAAGGACGCGCGTGTTTAAAAGTGTAACTCAATCGGCGCGTGAGTCGCTGCGTTATTCCTTCACTTGCTTCAGGCGGCCGCTGCGGGTTCGAGGAGCCGAACTCAAAATCGGGAAAAAGGTTAGGAAAGGGGGGGGGGAGGGGACGGTCCCACCTGATGACGGAGACTTGTGTTGCCTCCGAAACGTCGTGATTTATCATTTTATTTTATTCCTATTATTACTTTTATTAATTTTAGTTACATTTTTTACCTACGTGACTTTACCGAAAAAACCTTATAGTTTTTAACCCCCAAAAAAACTCTTATGGATATTAACGCATGATATGTGCGTGTGTGTGTGTAGAGTTTAGCGCGCTGCGCTACGAATCTGGCGACCAGGGTTCGATTCTCGCTCACGGCCACCAACATTTATATTATTTTTTATTTTTTACCTACGTGATTTTACCGAAAAAAAAATAAAACTAAGAGTATGGGGGAAGGGGCAGTTTGACTCATCATCTCTCCATTGGTCGATACACCAACAACAGCAACAGCAAAGCGAGAACCACTCTGTGGGGAGTCATCAGTTGGTTGTTCCACGGAGGGACTGGCACCCGCCAGAGGAACGTGGAATTTGCACACCGGCGGAGCGTCTTCCCCTCGTTCGCTTGAGTCGGGAGCCCCCCCCCCCCCCGTGACTGATAAAAGCGCAGCCCTGCAATTGCCTTCTCACAGCCACTGCTGACAGAAGGGTCTCTATCCAGAGGGCGCCCGAGAGAGCCCCTGTATTTGGCCTACTCTTCCACGCTGCGCAGACGTCTTGGAGGAGTCGCGAGTAACCCACACTCCCTCTGAGAATGAAAACTCATTTCTTTACAAGTGCTTTTGTTGTGTGTGCGGTCTGTTGCCCCCTCCCCCCACCCGCACCTCCAATTAGCACGGTCGGCTACGTACGGCGCGAACGAAGTTGATGCCTTGGTGTTTGAACATCTTAATCGCCCCGTGCCATTGCCAGCGAAGGTGTAAAGGCAAGAGGCGCCGTCAACGCTGTTCGTCTACCGTAGTGCGGGAGGGGGGGTAGGAGGGGAAATTAAAAAAAAACACACAAACCCCGCGCCACCTGAGCCGCGCTGAGCCGGCAAAGTTCAAATGTCAAGAGCTCAAGGGGCCGGCGTGAGTCTCGCTTGCTCGAGTGATGGGCTTGGGGCAACCTCTGCAACAAGGGAGCGAGCGAACGCGCCACCGACGGGCCGCGCCACGGCGGTCACGTGACAGCCAGAGCCCTCGGCACGGTTCGAATGTGGCAGTGGAAAAAAAGAGAGCCCCCCCCCCCACCCCAGAAGTCATCGTCGACGAAAGTAAATTTTATATTTTTAAAAAGAAACAAATCAAAAACCCACCTATCCTCTGGCGAACACTTTCGTCCGCTCTAGTTTTGTTCACGACCTTGACGCGCGACCGTGCAGGTTTTGCGTGACCTTGTCTGCGTTAACCCCCCACCACCACCGCCCACCACCGCCCACCACCGCCCACCACCACCGCCCACCACCACCACCACCACCCCGTGTCCCGTTGTGGTGGCGCCGTTAGATCTGCTCGAGGAAGTCGCCGGGAACCAGGCCCTTCTTCCTGCCACTCGTCACGGCCAGGAAGCCGTTGCTGCCTCCGCCCTTCTCCACGCAGATCTGCGGAAAAGTTACAGCGCGGGGGGGGGGGGGGTTAACGGGTGTGCCAGGCTAGGTGCAGCAGGTCATGGCACAGACCCAGGTGCCACGGGTTAACTGATGTGCGAGGCTAGGTGCAGCAGGTCACGGGGCAGACCCAGGTAATACGGGTTAACGGGTGTGCCAGGCTAGGTGCAGCAGGCCACGGCACAGATGCAGGTGCTACGGGTTCACGGATGTGCCAGGCTAGGTGCAGCAGGTCACGGGGCAGACCCAGGTAATACGGGTTAACGGGTGTGCCAGGCTAGGTGCAGCAGGCCACGGCACAGATGCAGGTGCTACGGGTTCACGGATGTGCCAGGCTAGGTGCAGCAGGTCACGGGACAGACCCAGGTGCTACGGGTTAACTGATGTGCCAGGCTAGGTGCAGCAAGTCACGGGACAGACCCAGGTGCTACGGGTTAACGGATGTGCCAGGCTAGGTGCAGCAGGTCACGGGACAGACCCAGGTGTTACGGGTTAACTGATGTGCCAGGCTTGGTGCAGCAAGTCACGGGGCAGATGCAGGTGCCACGGGTTAACTGATGTGCCAGGCTAGGTGCAGCAGGTCACGGGACAGACGCAGGCAAAGATCCCCCGTATAGCCTTGCTAGACTGTTGGGGCAAGTGCTGTTAGCCCTCACCTGGTCCTGCTTGAGCGTGATCTGGCCCAGGTAGCGGTTGCCCACGAATGTGCGCACGCAGCGAAACACACGCTCCGTCGTGCGGATCTTCAGCGTGAAGTTGGCGGGGAAGTAGCCGACTCGCTCGCCGATCTTGCCCTGCGCGGCACGCGGCATCAGGCAAAGCGGCATCGGGTGGCACCCATCATGGCACGTGGCATCACGCAAACAGCAGCGGTCGCGCAAAAATTGTGCGGCACAGCACCACGGAGTATCGCAGCGGTCACACGGATGTTAACTACCTCGCCTGGTCTACAGGAGGTCGTGGATTCGAACCCGACCCTGACGCCTGCTGCTGTATATTTGGAGTCTGCGTGTCTCTCTCTCTGTGGTGAGATGTTAACTGCCTCGCCTGGTCTACAGGAGGTCGTGGATTCTAACCCGACCCTGACGCCTGCTGCTGTATATTCGGAGTCTGCGTGTCTCTCTCTCCGTGGTGAGATGTTAACTGCTTCGCCTGGTCTACAGGAGGTCGTGGATTCGAACCCGACCCTGACGCCTGCTGCTGTATATTTAGAGTCTGCGTGTCTCTCTCTCCGTGGTGAGATGTTAACTGCCTCGCCTGGTCTACAGGAGGTCGTGGATTCGAACCCGACCCTGACGCCTGCTGCTGTATATTCAGAGTCTGTGTGTCTCTCTCTCCGTGGTGAGATGTTAACTGCTTCGCCTGGTCTACAGGAGGTCGTGGATTCGAACCCGACCCTGACGCCTGCTGCTGTATATATTTGGAGTTTTGCGTGCCTCTCTCTCCCCGCGGTTGCATGGATTTTCCCCGGGTCCTCCGGTTTTTCCCTCCGCATTTTTAATTGACGTCGCGCGTTTTGAGTTATTTGGCTGCTATGAATGTCCACTTGATAAACCACTTCGTCCAACTATCATTTGTGGTAGCCAGGTCGCTTCTGCAAACGAGCTACATAGCTCAGTGGGCCTTACCTGGTCCAATAAACTAAAAAAAACTGTTTCTAAGTTGAGTTTTTGTGCATACCAATTATTTTCAAAGTGTATCCGTAGGCTAAAAGCAAGAGACAGAGTCAGAAAATGCAAACTAATTCATCCTTCGATCAAATTAGCACCCAGGATTATTATTATTATTCGACCGCTGTTATTATTTTTCCTGCGCTTGTGTGCCCGGGAAAGCCGAGTCACCGAGCCTCAATCTACATTGTCTTGTGATTGTTATTGTTTGACTTGCATCCCACTGGGATTTTTGCACACAGCGTTGAAATGAGGTGGTCTTTTTTTGGAAGACTTTGCTGTTTTTTCCAGGATCTTTTCTGTTTGCGCGTAAGTCACTTTCAGATGTTTCTTGTTCACGTTTTTGTTTTGTTGCCTCCGAAACGTCGTGATTTTTATTGTTTTATTTGTATTAATTTCATTTTTCACCTACGTGACTTTACCGAAAGAACTAAGAGTATGAATCCTTGCAGTCACGAAAGCTTCAAATCTAGAATGAAAGGAGTGTCCTGCGCAGTTTTTTTCAGTAGGGGGCGGTGATTGCTACGCCATCAACATGACATTCGAACATGCGCGCACAAAGACAAAGATCCCCCGTATAGCCTTACCAGACTGTAGGGGCAAGTGCTGTTAACGAGCACCTATAAAGGCGGCACGGCACACGAGGGGGTGGGTGGCCAACAACACCACGCCCGACCGCCTTTGTCTCCCCAGTGGCGATGTTTAGACATCGCACCAGGTACTCATTTGAGGCCGAGTCGACCTAGGGGAGGCCCAGGACCAGTTCAGATAATCGTCACCGGTGTTGGTGGCCGTGAGCGAGAATCGAACCCTGGTCGCCAGGTTCGTAGCGCAGCGTAGCGCCAAACTCTACACAAACTATAACTAAACTTGTTAATTTTACAAGGTAATGCCCACTGACCTGTTAGGATATTTTTCAGAAGCGACCTGGCCAGCACAGATGATAGCTCAACGAAGTGGCTTATCACTTCGAGTGGAAATGTACAGTAGACAAATGCTTTAAACGCAAATTTCTAAATGTGGAGAGAAAAAAAAACAACGGAGGACCCGGAGGGAAATCTATGCGACCACGGAGAGAGAGAGAGACACGCAAACTTCAAATATACAGCAGCAGTTGTCAGGGTCCGGGTCGAACCCACGACCTCCTGTATACCAGGCGAGGTAGTTAACATCTCCTAGCCACCGTGATACTGATGAGACAGAAAGAGACACGCGAACTCCAAATATACAGCAGGCGTTAGGGTCGGGGTCGAACCCACGACCTCCTGTATACCAGGCGAGGTAGTTAACATCTCACCACAAAGAGAGAGAGAGACATGCAAATTCCAAATATACAGGAGGCGTTAGGGTCGGGATTGAACCCACGACCTCCTGTAGACCAGGCGAGGTAGTTAACATCTCATAGCCACCGTGATGATGAGATGCATACTCCAAATATACAGCAGGCACCACCATAGCGCCCCAGTCGGCCAAATGCCCTCTACAGAGCTCCATCATTCATTCAGAGCATTGATCCTGTTAATACTGGTAGGAACCTCCTGGTTACACCAGCCCACAGGGGATTATTGTGTCCGTCCGTCCGTCCGTCGTGCAGGGAGGGGCTGGGTGGGGACGGAGGGGCTGGGTGGGGAGGGTGGGGAGGGGCTGGGTGGTGAGGGGAAGGTGGGGAGGGGCTGGGTGGGGAGGGTAGGGCTGGGTGGGGGTTGGGGGGGGTGGGGCTGGGTGGGGAGGGGCTGGTCACCCCGTGGTGCCCTTATGAAACTCAACGTTTAACCTACGGGCTTATGCCCGCCCTCACAGTCGGGCATATTTGCAGAATACAGCACGCCGCCGTTGACCCTGGCCATTGACCGAGCAACCCAACGTGTTCCTACCAGCTCCCTCCGCAGGAGGAATGTGTTAGCAAAAATGAGCGAACTCACCTTCCACCACTCTTCGTTGGAGTCATCAGTGACCTGTAGCCGGTCCCCAGGGCTGAGGGCACAGAGGGTTAAGTAGCGTCATCTTAGCAGCTCGCTGTCACACGCCGCTCGTGTCTTTTTTTCTAATAAAAAAAATTATATTTAAAGATACTTTTTTTAAAAACACGCTTTAAAGAAATGCACCGTACTTGTAATGGCAGAACTTCACGACTCCAGGAAGTGGCCCCGCAGCTTGCCATAACGTAAGGGGCCGTGGTGATTTACAGCCAACGTGAGTATGTGGGTCTCTGTGTGAGTCTATGGGTCTCTGAGTGAGTCTGTGGGTCTCTGTGTGAGTCTATGGGTCTCTGAGTGAGTCTGTGGGTCTCTGTGTGAGTCTATGGGTCTCTGAGTGAGTCTGTGGGTCTCTGTGTGAGTCTATGGGTCTCTGAGTGAGTCTGTGGGTCTCTGTGTGAGTCTATGGGTCTCTGAGTGAGTCTGTGGGTCTCTGTGTGAGTCTATGGGTCTCTGAGTGAGTCTGTGGGTCTCTGTGTGAGTCTATTGGTCTCTGAGTGAGTCTGTGGGTCTCTGTGTGAGTCTATGGGTCTCTGAGTGAGTCTGTGGGTCTCTGTGTGAGTCTATGGGTCTCTGAGTGAGTCTGTGGGTCTCTGTGTGAGTCTATTGGTCTCTGAGTGAGTCTGTGGGTCTCTGTGTGAGTCTATGGGTCTCTGTGTGCGTCTATGGGTCTCTGTGTGAGTCTATGGGTCTCTGCGTGAGTCTGTGGGTCTCTGTGTGAGTCTATTGGTCTCTGAGTGAGTCTGTGGGTCTCTGTGTGAGTCTATGGGTCTCTGTGTGCGTCTATGGGTCTCTGTGTGAGTCTATGGGTCTCTGCGTGAGTCTGTGGGTCTCTGTGTGAGTCTACGGGTCTCTGCGTGAGTCTGTGGGTCTCTGTGTGAGTCTATGGGTCTCTGAGTGAGTCTGTGGGTCTCTGTGTGAGTCTATGGGTCTCTGAGTGAGTCTGTGGGTCTCTGTGTGAGTCTATGGGTCTCTGAGTGAGTCTGTGGGTATCTGTGTGAGTCTATGGGTCTCTGTGTGCATCTATGGGTCTCTGTGTGAGTCTATGGGTCTCTGCGTGAGTCTGTGGGTCTCTGTGTGAGTCTACGGGTCTCTGCGTGAGTCTGTGGGTCTCTGTGTGAGTCTATGGGTCTCTGTGTGCGTCTATGGGTCTCTGTGTGAGTCTATGGGTCTCTGTGTGAGTCCATGGATCGCTGCGTGAGTCTATAGGTCTCCGTGTAAGTCTATAGATCTCTGTGAGTCTATGGGTCCCTGTGTGAGTCTATGGGTCTCTGTGTGAGTCTATGGGTCCCTGTGTGAGTCTATGAGTCCCTGTGTGAGTCTATAGGTATCTGTGTGAGTCTATGGGTCCCTGTGTGAGTCTATAGGTCTCTGTGTGAGTCTATGGGTCTCTGTGTGAGTCTATAGGTCTCTGTGTGAGTCTATGGGTCTTTGTGTGAGTCTATCGGTCTCTGTGTGAGTCTATGGGTCCCTGTGTGAGTCTATAGGTCTCTGTGTGAGTCTATGGGTCCCTGTGTGAGTCTATAGGTCTCTGCGTGAGTCTATGGGTCCCTGTGTGAGTCTATGCGTCCCTGTGTGAGTCTATAGGTCTCTGTGTGAGTCTATAGGTCTCTGTGTGAGTCTATGGGTCTCTGTGTGAGTCTATAGGTCTCTGTGTGAGTCTATGGGTCTCTGTGTGAGTCTATGGGTCCCTGCGTGAGTCTATAGGTCTCTCCGTGCGAATCATTTAGCGACCGCGCTGACACCATCAAATCACTCCTACCCTCAATGGGCCTTCGCGACGCAGCACACAGATGGACGGGAGGCCGGGAGGGTCGCGCACTCACTGAAGGTCGAGGTCGTCCTTCTCCTGCGACTGGAAGCGGTAGAGGGCCACGTAGGTGAAGGCCGAGGTCACCGTGTCCTTGCCCGGCTTCTTGCCCTGACACAGACGGAGGGGGCGGGAGGGTGAGCGATGCTCGACAAATATTCCATGGACTCGCGCACGCGCACACTGACCCATAGACTCACACACATAGACTCACACACACACTGACCCATAGACTCACACACACACTGACCCATAGACTCACACACACACACACTGACCCATAGACTCACACACACACTGACCCATAGACTCACACACATAGACTCACACACACACTGACCCATAGACTCACACACACCACTGACCCATAGACTCACACACACACTGACCCATAGACTCACACACACACACTGACCCATAGACTCAACACACACACTGACCCATAGACTCACACACATAGACTCACACACACACTGACCCATAGACTCACACCCATAGACAAACACGCACACTGACCCATAGACTCACACACATAGACTCACACACACACCCATGGACTCACACCCATAGACTCACACACACACCCATAGACTCACACACACACACTGACCCATAGACTCACACACATAGACTCACACACACACTGACCCATAGACTCACACACATAGACTCACACACACACTGACCCATAGACTCACACACATAGACTAACACACACTGACCCATAGACTCACACACATAGACTCACACACACACTGACCCATAGACTCACACACATAGACTCACACACACACTGACCCATAGACTCACACCCATAGACTCACACACACTGACCCATAGACTCACACACATAGACTCACACACACACTGACCCATAGACTCACACCCATAGACTCACACACACACTGACCCATAGACTCACACCCATAGACTCACACACACACTGAACCATAGACTCACACACACACACCCATAGACTCACACACACTGACCCATAGACTCACACACACATTGACCCATAGATTAACACACAGACTCACACACACACACTGACCCATAGACTCACACACACACAGACTCATAGACTAACACACTGACCCATAGACTCACACACACACCCATAGACTCACACACACACACCCATAGACTCACACACAGACACTGACCCATAGACTCACACACATAGACTCACACACACACTGACCCATAGACTCACACACACACACACACACCCATAGACTCACGCAAACACCCACATAGACTCACACACACTGACCCATAGACTCACACACACACACTGACCCATAGACTAACACACACACCCATAGACTCACACACACACAGAACCATAGACTCACACACACACAATGACCCATAGACTCACACACACACAGACCCATAGACTCACACACACACCCATAGACTCACACACACACACATAGACTCACACACACACTGACCCATAGACTCACACACACACACACCCATAGACTCACGCAAACACCCACATAGACTCACACACACTGACCCATAGACTCACACACACACACTGACCCATAGACTCATACACACACAGACCCATAGACTCACACACACACACATAGACTCACACACACACACATAGACTCACACACACAGACCCATAGACTCACACACACACATAGACTCACACACACACACATAGACTCACACACACTGACCCATAGACTCACACACACACACTGACACATAGACTCACACACCCACACACTCACACAGAGACCCACAGACTCACACAGAGACCCATAGACTCACACAGAGGCCCAGAGACTCACACAGAGACCCATAGACTCACACAGAGACCCATAGACTTACACAGAGACCCATAGACTCACACAGAGACCCACACACTCACACAGAGACCCACAGACTCACACAGAGACGAGAATGAAAGCAAATGGGGGGTGAACTTAACTCAAAAGTGGGACGTTACAAGAGGATTACAACAGCAACACCACCCCCAGATAAAGACAAAGATCCCCCGTGTAGCCTTAACAGACTGTTGGGGCAAGTGCTGTTAGCGAGCACCTATGAAGGCCGGCACGGCACACGAGGGGGTGGGTGGCCAGCACCACGCCCGACCGCCTTTGTCTTCCCAGTGGCGATGTTTACACACCGCACCAGGCACTGCCCCCCCTTCACCGGGAAGCGCCAGAGGGGGGGGGGAATGGGGGGTACCACGTGGCACTGCCCCCCCCCCTTTCACCGGGAAGCGCCAGAGGGGGGGGGGGTAGTACCACGTGTCCGTCGTTACCTTTGTCTCGTCCGAGTTCTGCTCCATGTTTTCGGCGTTCTCGAACACTGCGGACGAACGCAGAGGTAGGTGAGACGCCGGGGGGGGGTGGGGGGGGGGGTCTTGCGTTTGACGCCCACGGGCAGATGGACAGGGCACGGCGTGACAGAGAGAGAACTCCCTCCCCACCACCCACCCACACACTCACTCACCCACACACACACTCACCCACACACACTCACCCACCCACACACACTCGCCCACACACTCACCCACCCACACACACACTCACCCACACACACACTCACTCACCCACACACACACTCACCCACACACACTCACCCACCCACACACACTCGCCCACACACTCACCCACCCACACACACACTCACCCACACACACACTCACCCACACACACTCACCCACCCACACACACTCGCCCACACACTCACTCACCCACACACTCACTCACCCACACACACACTCACCCACCCACACACTCACCCACACACACTCGCCCACACACTCACCCACCCACACACACACTCACCCACCCACACACTCACCCACACATCCACACACCCACTCACCCACACACACACTCACCCACTCACCCACCCACCCACACACACACCCACCCACTCACACACACTCACACACCCACCCACACACACACCCACACACCCACACACACACTCACCCACCCACACACCCACACACCCACTCACCCACCCACCCACACACTCACACACCCACCCACACACCACTACCCCACCGACCCACACACCCACCCACACATCCACCACCCCACCCACCCATCCCACCCACACACTCACCCACCCACACACCCACAACCCCACCCACACACACTCACTCACCCACCCACCCACTCACCCACACACACACACACACCCACCCACTCACCCACTCACCCACCCATACACTCACCCACCCACCCCCACACCCACTCACCCACACACTCACCCACCCACACACTCACCCACCCACCCCCACACCCACCCACACACTCACCCACCCACCCCCACACCCACCCAAACACACTCACTCACCCACTCACCCACCCACCCACACACCCACACACCCACCCACTCACCCACCCACCCACTCACCCACCCACCCACACACTCACCCACCCCCACACCCACCCACACACTCTCAGGGGTCACCCGAGGTCTCCGGGTCAGGAGAGTCGCACCAAACGTTGGAGGCCGTCCATAAATGACGTCACGCGATTTTTGACGATTTTTTACCCGCCCCCCTCATCACACGGCGTCACAAAAAGTCAGACCCCCCCCCTCAAATATGACGTCAGAAAGCCCTGCCCCCCCCCCCCCATCAGGGTCGGGATCGAACCCACGACCTCCTGTATACCAGGCGAGGTAGTTTACATCTCCTAGCCACCGTGATGATGATGATGAGAGAGACACGCAAACTCCAATATACAGCAGCAGGCGTCAGGGTCGGGATCGAACCCACGACCTCCTATAGTTAACATCTCCTAGTGACGCTTACGAGGTCAGGTTTTTCGCAAAGTGACGCCTACCTTCATCGTTTTCATTTTCGTTCTCCAAGTATTCACTCTCCACGTCGTTGTCTTGCGATGTCTCCGAAGTTTGTCCTCCCTTGACGACAACAACAACAACAAAACCCCACAACAAACCCAGTAAGACTCACAATATACATTGACCCCCTCCCTCTAGCCTGCGAGCATGATTGGCCCACAGGTGACAACATCACATTAACACCCAGGGGCGGTTTCTTCATTAGGGCGATTGGGCGACGCACCACCAATGTCATTCAACCACAGAGTCATGCTAGCCGTCACTGCAGCCTCTGGATATAGTCCAATCAGCGTCATGTCACGTTCTGTGGAGTACCGCCTCTTTTTGGGCGATTTCACTCCGGCTGAGAATCGCCCCGAGTGGCACCATAGACTTACATTCAAAGATTTTTTTTTCGAACGGGGACGCTGCAATGCATTCTCTATGGCTTCCGGGAGGGCTCGCCCTAACGTGCTTATGTCATCATATGTAAGCACGTTTCATCCAACAATATAATTTGTCGCAACTCTTAGCGAAACGACGGATTCTGGGCCTGGGAGACGCGACCGAGAAAGGTGGATGTGCGACGTCCACCTTCTTACAGTGATAGGTTTTTACCCTTTGAACTGGTACAAAACTGACACCTTTATACAAGGGATCATGTTTGCAATAACCACAACACAAGCAGTCAAAAGGACAGTGCATATTATTATCATCATCAGAGTTGTTTATTTTTGTTTGCATTTTGACTGCTCGTGTTGTGGTTATTGCAAACATGATGCCTTGTATAAAGGTGTCAGTTTTTGTACCAGTTGAAAGGGTTAAAAACCTATCACTATATTTCGCCACTGGTAAAGGAGGTGTCTCATAGTGTCCACCTTCTTGTCGTCCTCGTCGCCCTTGCCCTTGTTGCGGTGCGACAGGGAGTTGCCGATGCGCAGAGTCTCGTAGTCCGGGTCCACCTTGTCGTCGATGACTGCGGGGGGAGGGGGAGGGGGTTGTGGATGAGTAGTGTCCACCATGGGTAGTGTCCACTATGGGTAGTGTCCACCCTGGGTAGTGTCCACTATGGGCAGTATCCACCATGGGTAGTGTCCACCCTGATAACTTATAAGGTGGAGTTGCAGCGCGGTGGTTAGCACACGGCACCGCGATGGTGAGATGTTAACTACCTCGCCTGGTCAACAGGAGATCGTAGGTTCAATCCCAGCCCTGACGCCTGCTGCTGTATATGTGGAGTTTGCGTGTCTCTCTCCGTGGTGAGATGTTAACTACCTCGCCTGGTCTACAGGAGGCCGTGGGTTCGACCCCGAGGCTGACGCCTGCTGCTGTATATTTGGAGTTTGCGTGTCTCTCTCCGCGGTGAGATGTTAACTACCTCGCCTGGTATACAGGAGGTCGTGGGTTCGACCCCGAGGCTGACGCCTGCTGCTGTATATTTGGAGTTTGCGTGTCTCTCTCCCCGTGGTCGCGTGGATTTTTCTCCTGGTCCTCCGGTTTTCCCCTCCACATTTAGAATCGACATCGCGCGTGTAGAGCATGTGGCTGCTGCTATAGATTTCCACGGGATAAGCAACTTTCGTATTCTTGGTTCTTTCGGTAAAGTGACGTAATAGATAAATAATAATAAAAATATTTAAAACATTTTTTTTATTATTTCCCTTCTACGTGACTTTACCGAAAGAACCAAGAATATGAATCCCTGCAGTCACGAAAGCTTTAAATAAAAAATGCCACTTTCGGTTCAACTATCATTTGTGGTGGCCAGGTCGCTTCTGAAAAAGACAAATCTACATCGCTTAGTGGGACCTTACCTGGTCAAATAAAAAAAAATTGTCAACAAAAAAAAGATGTCAACAAAAAAAAATTTGTCAACCAAAAAAATTGTCAACTAAAAAAAATGTGTCAACAAAAAAAATTTGTCAACAAAAAAAATTTGTCAAAAAAAATTGTCAACCAAAAGAAATGTCAACTAAAAAAAATGTGTCAACAAAAAAAATTGTCAACAAAAAAAAATTGTCAACCAAAAAAAATTGTCAACAAAAAAAATGTCAACAAAAAAAATTGTAAAAAAAAAAATTTGTCAACCAAAAAAAATTTGTCAACAAAAAAAAACTTAGTCAACAAAAAAAATTTGTCAACAAAAAAAAATTGTTACCAAAAAAAATTTGTCAACAAAAAAATTTGTCAACAAAAAAAATTTGTCAACAAAAAAAAAATTGTCAACTAAAAAAACGTGCTTAATTTTAGTACCACGAACCAGCCGCCACCCAAGTTCGATCCCTGGCCAACGGCTAACAAACATCGGTGGCTATCGACGCATCGCCCGGATGACCTTTTACACAAATGTCGAGAGGCCTTCATCCAGCAGCGGATCGACCATGGCTATTAACGAAGCTGCCTCGCTGCTACTGATGGTGATGATGATGGTGGTGGAGTGAGGGAATGCGGCCGTGGTGTCGCCCAGATGGGCCAACCCTCACGGGCTAAAACTGAAATGCCTCTCATGAATTATGAGCAAAGCGACGCAAACTTGAGCTGTGGCCTCGGTGGGCACTGACACCCCCCTGATGGGGTAGAGCGGCGGCTAAAAGTGGCCGCTTGCTGACAAAACTCTCCCGTTCGATTTAGCCTCCTACCCCCGTGTGTTAGTGTGAGTGTGTGTGTTAGGGAGTGTGTGTGTGTTAGTGAGTATGTGTGTGAGTGTGTGAGTGTGTGTAAATGTGTGTTAGTGAGTGTGTGTGTGAGTGAGTGTGTGAGTGTAAGTGTGTGTTAGTGAGTGTGTGTGAGTCAGTGTGAGTGAGTGAGTGTGTGACTGAGTGCGTGAGTGTGTGTGAGTGTGTGTGTGAGTGTGTGAGTGTGTGTAAATGTGTGTTAGTGAGTGTGTGTGTGAGTGTGTGAGTGTGTGTTAGTGAGTGTGTGTGTGTGAGTGAGTGTGTGAGTGTGTGAGTGTGTGTGAGTGTGTGAGTGAGTGAGTGTGTGAGTGTGAGTGTGTGTTAGTGAGTGTGTGTGAGTGAGTGTGAGTGAGTGAGTTTGTTAGTGAGTGTGAGTGTGTGTGTAAGTGTGTGTGAGTGTAAGTGTGTGTGAGTGAGTGTGTGAGTGTAAATGTGTGTTAGTGAGTGTGTGGTCGACTCAGCCTCAAATGAGTACCTGGTGCTGTGTGTAAAAAAACATCGCCACTGGGGAGACAAAGGCGGCCGGGAGTGGTTGCTGGCCACCCACCCCCCTCGTATACCGTGCTGGCGTTCTTAGGTGCTACTCGCTAACGGCACTTGCCCTAACAGTCTAGTAAGGCTATGCGGGGGATCTTTGTCTTTGTGTGCGTGCGCGTACCGATGGGTAATACTCCGTGCTGCTTGAACACCAGCGGCGTGCTGAAATGCCTCTTGAATCCACGTGGCTAGAACAACAACAACAACAGCAACAACAGCAACAAGAGCGTGATGATCGTCATCATCATCATCATCCTAAGGGGAGATCACGGCCGAACGGGTTCGTAAATAATGATACAGCTCCCAACCCTCGCTCTACGCGTTAGCAGTACTCGTAGTAGATGCGTTCCAAAAAATATTCGTGAGCGGTTTTAGAACTCGGGACTGGCTTTGTTTACCGCAAAAGTTTTTCTAATTTTTGTGTGCAGTGGAATCAACAGCTCGGTGATTTTTTTTACTTATTCTTCACCTCACAAGTGAATTCGATTAACAGTTATTTCGGGGTAAGGGGCCGTCCATAAATGACGTCACGCACCTAGAGGGGGAGGGGGTCAGACATTTGTGACGATGTGTGACGAGGGGGGGGTTGAGAAATGTGACGTCACACCAAAATGCGCAACTTTAAATAAATATAGACAACACGTTCTACTTAATTAAATATACTTATTAATAAATGTTTTCTCCTACAACATCAGAGTTCAGCGGCACATTAAATACGCACTACAATGACAATAGTTTAAAGCGATTTGAAGGATGTTTTATTTTTTGGGGGGGGGCAGAGCTTTGTAACGTCATATTTAAGGGGGGGGGCCTGACTTTTTGTGACGCCGTGTCACGAGGGGGGGGGGGGTCAAAAATCGTCTAAAATCGCGTGACGTCATTTATGGACGGCCCCTGAACGGTAGTTTTCGTGGAACGGACGGGACTGCTTGTATGATCGTCGTCGTGGCAGCTGCCGTTGCCTTCACTGTGAAGTTGAAAGCGACGAGTGCCCTGCCACAGTTCCGATCCGTGCCGTCTCTTACCAATTCTAGATTTGAAGCTTTTGAATCTTCGGCCGTTGCCGATCATTGCTACAACTCGGTGGGCTCTCATGAAATTGTCTTTTCCGAGACCAAGGTTCTCTGCAAACCTCCTGGCTACCATCAAAGGTTTGTACACGAAGCCATACAAATATACAAACACAGACATAATTTCAACCGTGATGACGGTTACAAACTGAGTAATCATTGGAAAGATGTGATTAACCATGCAAAAAAGATTTAACTACACTTATTTGGCCAATCTTATTTGACAGATAACTATTACAAGTTTACCATGTTTAGTTGTTGTCTCCTTGTCACAGGTTGAGTCACAACCCGTACCTCTCCATAACGAAGGCTCACCCTCTTAAGCCTCACCTTACCATATGAATAAAAAGTGTGCTGTACTTGCCCCCCGCCCCTCTCCAACCATTATATAACGGAGTGGTAGCTCCTGCAATCTCTCATTTACTTGATACAGCTGTCGTGGCTGTGACGGTTCCACCTAAAGACGGAAGCTTGTGTTGCCTCCGAAACGTCGTGATTTTGATTTTGTATTTTAGTATACTTTTATTAATTTTAATGTTTTACCTACGTGACTTTACCGAAAAAACCTAAGAATATATACCGTCTCTTACCACTTTGCCGAAGCATTCCTTGGAGTTCTCCATGCACTTGTGGTGGATGTTGATCCGGCACAGTTTGCATCGCAACCCGTACTTTGCGATCTCACCTTGTGGGATAGCAGCAGCAGCAACAACAACAGTGGTGTAATAATGATTGTTATCAATATTATACATTTGAAGCTTTCGTGACTGCAAGGATTCATATTCTTAGGTTTTTTAGGTAAAGTCACGTAGGTAAAACATTGAAATTCTAATAATTTTTTTACCTACGTGACTTTACCGAAAAAACCTAAGAATCTGTTATCAATATTAACACGAACTATTTTTTTTATATTACAAGGTAAGAGCCCACTAAAGCTGTACAGTATAGCACTTTTTCAGAAGCGACCTGCCCATATCAAATGATAGCTCAAACGAAGTGGATTATCATCATCACGTGGACATTTATAAGTAGCCAAATACTCTAAACACGTGATGTCCGTTTTCAGTGTGGAGGGAAAAACCGGAGGATCCAGAGAGAAAATCCACGAGACCACGAGGAGAGAGAGACACTCAAACTCCCAAGTATACAGCAGCAGGCGTCAGGGTCGGGATCGAACCCACGACCTCCTGCACACCAGGCGAAGTAGTTAACATATCCTAGCCACCGTGATGATGATGAGAGAAAGAGAGACATCGCAAACTCCAAATATACAGCAGCAGGCGCCAGGGTCGGGATCGAACCCATGACCTCCTGCACACCAGGCGAGGTAGTTAACATCTCCTCGCCACCGTGATGATGATGAGAGACATCGCAAACTCCAAATATACAGCAACAGGAGGGCGTGGATCGAACCCACGACCTCCTGTAGACCAGGCAAGGTAGTCAACATCTCGCCACTGCGGCGTTCCAACAATGTGGCCTTAAAAAAAAACCAAAAAGATATATAATAGGTGACGATCCGGACAATAGCCCTTGTTCGTGGCGAGCGAGTTAACATTTCCCTGCCACCGCAGGAGACAATTTGAGCGACACGTTCGCGGCGGTTCACGAAGCTCAAGAGCCGAGCGAACCTTCGTTTGTCTTGCCCACGACCATGTGGTGGCAGATGTCGCAGAACGTCGGCTTCTTGAAGAAGTGGTCGACGAATCGGTGAGCGGGGCCCAACGCCGCGGCCGCCGCCGCCGCCGCGGCCGCCCTGCCGGCGGCTCCTGCCCTCGTGGCCGACACGGAGCGGCCTTCCCCGTTGGGCTCCAGGGCGGCCCCTTGACCCCAGTCGGCCTGGTGCATGGCGGGGACGGGGCCTCCGAGAACACGCGAAGTCGTCTCAGATGTCGCTGCCGCCGCCTTCGCCGCCTTCGACGCCTTGGTGCGTTCCCAGCGAGGAGCCGCAAGGAGCAACCTACTGAGCCGCCGCAGCTTGGGGGTTGGCGGTGGTGGTTGTGGTGGTTGGTTGGTGGTGGAGGTGGCGGAGGTGGTGGAGGTGGTGGTGGTTGGTGGTGGTGGTGGTGGAGGTGGTGGTTGGTGGTGGTGGTGGAGGTGGTTGGTGGAGGTGGCGGAGGTGGTTGGTGGTGGTGGAGGTGGTTGGTGGTGGTGGTGGGTGGTGGTGGTGGTTGGTGGTTGGTGGTTGGTGGTGGTGGTGGTGGTGGTGGAGGTGGTGGTTGGTGGTGGTGGTGGAGGTGGTTGGTGGAGGTGGCGGAGGTGGTTGGTGGTGGTGGAGGTGGTTGGTGGCGGTGGTGGTGGTGGTGGTGGTTGGTGGTTGGTGGTTGGTGGTGGTGGTGGTGGAGGTGGTGGTGGAGGTGGTGGTGGTGGTGGTTGGTGGAGGTGGTGGTTGGTGGTGGAGGTGGTGGAGGTGGTGGTTGGTGGTGGTGGTGGTGGTTGGTGGTTGGTGGTGGTAGTGGTGTTGGTGGTTGGTTGGTGGTGGTGGTGGTGGAGGTGGTGGTGGAGGTGGTGGTTGGTGGTGGAGGTTGGTGGTGGTGAAGGTGGTTGTTGGTGGTAGTTGGTGGTGGAGGTGGAGGTTGGTGGTGGTGAAGGTGGTTGGTGGTGGTGGTTGGTGGTGGTGGTTGGTGGTTGGTGGTGGAGGTTGTGGTTGGTGGTGGTGAAGGTGGTTGTTGGTGGTGGTTGGTGGTTGGTGGTGGTGGTTGGTGGTGGGTGGTGGTGGTGGTTGGTGGTGGTTGGTGGTGGTGGAGGTGGTGGTGGTTGGTGGTTGGTGGTGGAGGTGGTGGTGGTGGAGGTGGAGGTGGTGGTGGAGCGAGAGAAGAGAGGACGAGACAGGAGAATCGAGGGTCAGAACGACGCTGGAGAATGATTCTGTTGTGCCGCTCGTGGTGGCAGCAGCGAGTGGGTTCGTAGCCAGTCGCGTAACGAGCATGGGGGCAGCCAGGGGGTGCATTGCCCCCCCCCCCTCCTGGTGGGCAAAGCTACGAGTTGGGGCCCCCCTAACCAACCAACCATAATGATATATGTTTTTAACAACAGACATGATTCCTTGCAAAAAAGGTTTCTGTTTTAACATCTAAACACCTGTTTTATTTTAGGCTTTTTCGGTAAAGTCACGTAGGTAAAAAATTGAAATTAATAAAAGTAAAATAAAAATAAAATAAAAATCACGACGTTTCGGAGGCAACACAAGCGTCCGTCTTCAGGTGGAACCGTCACAGCACGATAGCTGTATCAAGTGAGAGAAATTCCAAGAACACAGTATTTGTATATATACTGGTTGAGGGTGGGAGGAGCCAAGGTAGGCCATGAATATTATTTTTGTGAGGTTCGGTGCGGCTGAAGCACGCTGTTCGGAATGAGCCTTTGTTGTGTAAACTAGGTGCGGATGATGTAAAGGTGCGTGTAAAAGGGACTGAGCCTATTGTTATGTAGAGGCGATGCGGCTGAAATCGCTGCCAGGAAATGAGTCTTTGTTGTGTAGAATGGTTGACTGAGCCTATTGTTATGTAGAGGTGGTGCGGCTGTTTTATTGCTAGAAAGGGTCAAATCTATTTTTATAAATAAATAAATAACCACGCACTCACCCAGTCTCAGGGCGCTTCGACTCTCATTGGCGAGGAGCTGTCACGTGGGGGGGGGGGGGCACGCCCAATCGGATTTGAGGGCGGAGAACATTCGAATCGGATTGGTCGAGAGGGTCGGTTGAGAGACCCGTCGTGAGAAACGAATGTGATTGGTGGAGAGTCAGGCGCCGCGTGGCGAGACGGAAAACTATAGTATTAGTAGTAAAAGTAGCTAGTAGTACATATGTAGTAGCTACTACAGGTGTAGTAGTAGCTACTACATGTAAAGTAGCTACGTGCCCCGCACTTTCAAGGGCCCCGCGCTGAATGCTTGCAAGCTAGCAATTCCGCTATGAGACATCTCCTTTACCAGTGGCAAAATATAGTGATAGGTTTTTACCCTTTCAACTGGTACAAAAAACTGACACCTTTATACAAGGCATCATGTTTGCAATAACCACAACACAAGCAGTCAAAATGCAAACAAAATGAAACAACTCTGATGATAATGATATGCACTGTCCTTGAAGTTGATTAGTCTACACCCGAGACAGCTTTTCTTAGAGCCTAGTCTCCTTTGGTGTTGGACCAGATGACGCCCAAAGGGGGACAACTCAAAAATAGCGCACTATCAGACTATTGAGAGCTCGGGGTAAGCATTTACACTATGAGACCTTCTTTACCAGTGGCAAAATATAGTAATAGGTTTTTACCCTTTCAACTGGTACAAAAAACTGACACCTTTATACAAGGCATCATGTTTGCAACAACCACAACACAAGCAGTCAAAATGCAAACAAAAGTAAACAACTCTGATAATGATAATGTTTTTTGAGTTGTACGCCTTTTGGCGTCATCTGGTCCAACACCATGTGAGACTAGGCTCTAATAAAAGCTGTCTCGGGTGTGGACCAATCAACTTCAAGGACAGTGCATATCATTATCAGAGTTGTTTCTTTTTGTTTGCATTTTGACTGCTTGTGTTGTGGTTATTGCAAACATGATGCCTTGTATAAAGGTGTCAGTTTTTGTACCAGTTGAAAGGGTAAAAACCTATTACTATCAATTCCGGTTCAGTGATTCTGCATTTGCTCTGTTACTATAGTACTATACCGCCTTTAACTTTTAGGACCGGCTCAAGACACTCGTCACCTGGCGTTGGTGGCCGTGAGCGGGAATCGAACTCGGCTCACCGGGGTTCGTAGCGCTAACCACGACACTACCGCTAACCCCACAAACTACTTTACACACACACACGCGCGCGCACGCATATCTAAACATATCTACGGTGTCTCCTTACCAACAGATATTTCCCCCATTTTAATTTTCGTTGTTGCTGTACACTGTGTGTGTGTCAATGCAGACACGTGTCAAAGGTGGTAGCGGCGGCGGGGGGGATGGGGGCGGGGTTACATGGCACGGGATCCGCATCTCGCCGCATTTTTTCCACTGCCGGCAGAAATGCGCACCGTGGCACCGCCAAAGACAAAGGTCACCCGTGTAGCCTCGGCAGACTGTTGGGGCAAGTGCTGCTAGCGAGCAAGCAACCTATGAAGGCCGGCACGGCGCACGAGGGAGCTTGGGTGGCCAGCACCACGCATGCTCGGCCGCCTTTGTCTCCCGATGCTCAACGCACCGCACCGGGTACTCATTTGAGACCGAGTCGACCCAGGGGGAGGCCCCGGGACCGGTTCAGATGCTCGTCACCGGGTGTTGGCCGTGAGCGGGAATCGAACTCGGCTGGCCGGGCTTTCGTAGCGCGGCGTAGCGCTGACCACTACATTACCGCTCCCCGTTCCACAGCACCACCAGCAGCTGTTGTCGGTGTGATGATACTCGGGGCAGGTGGCGGGGGGTCTGTAACGATATGCGGGGCATCTCTTAAAGCCTCTCAGTGTCGGAAACACCAACGCCTCCCCCACGGTTCTGGATGCGCGCAGCTCAGCACTCAACACTCGGCAACAATATGAGCTCGGCTCGCATCGAGAGGAAGGGAGTTGTTGCCGTTGTTGTTGTTGGCACACACAACGCCACGCTTGGCGTGCCGTGCCCTGCGTGTGGGCCAACAACGATCACTCGCGTGGCCACCACCGCCACCACCACTACCACCGCCACCGCCACCGCCACTGCCACCACCGCCACCACCACCATCGCCACCACCACCACTACCACCGCCACCACCACCATCGCCACCACCGCCACCACCACCACCGCCACCACCACCACCGCCACCACCACTGACACAGCCACCACCGCCACCACCGCCACCACCGCCACCACCAGTACCACCGCCACCACCACCATCGCCACCACCGCCACCACCACCACCGCCACCACCACCACCGCCACCACCACTGACACAGCCACCACCGCCATCACCGCCACAACCACCACCGCCATCACCGCCACTACCACCGCCACCTCCACCACCGCCACCACCGCCACCACCACCATCGCCACCACCGCCACCACCGCCACCACCGCCACCACCACCATCGCCACCACCGCCACCACAGCTACCACCGCCACCACCGCCACCGCCACCACCGCCACCACCACTACCACCGCCACCACCACCATCGCCACCACCGCCACCACCACCACCGCCACCACCACCACCGCCACCACCACTGACACAGCCACCACCGCCACCACCGCCACCACCATCACCGCCACCACCACCACTACCACCGCCACCTCCACCACCGCCACCACCGCCACCACCACCATCGCCACCACCGCCACCACCACCACCACCGCCACCGCCACCATCGCCACCACCACCGCTACCACCGCCACCACCACCGCCACCACCGCCACCGCCACCACCGCCACCGCCACCACCACCATCGCCACCACCGCCACCACCACCACCGCCACCACCACCACCGCCACCACCACTGACACAGCCACCACCCGCCACCACCGCCACCACCACCACCGCCACCACCACCACTACCACCGCCACCTCCACCACCGCCACCACCGCCACCACCACCATCGCCACCACCGCCACCACCACCACCGCCACCCCCACCACCGCCACCACCACTGACACAGCCACCACCGCCACCACCGCCACCACCACCATCGCCACCACCGCCACCACCACCACCACCGCCACCACCACCATCGCCACCACCGCCACCACCGCTACCACCGCCACCACCACCGCCACCACCGCCACCGCCACCACCGCCACCACCACTACCACCGCCACCACCACCATTGCCACCACCGCCACCACCACCACCGCCACCACCACCACCGCCACCACCACTGACACAGCCACCACCGCCACCACCGCCACCACCACCACCGCCGCCACCACCACTACCACCGCCACCACCGCCACCACCACTGACACAGCCACCACCGCCACCACCGCCACCACCACCACCGCCACCACCACCACTACCACCGCCACCTCCACCACCGCCACCACCGCCACCACCACCATCGCCACCACCGCCACCACCACCACCGCCACCCCCCACCACCGCCACCACCACTGACACAGCCACC